GGTGAATTACATACTCAAAAAAGCGAATGGAACCTACGTTCTCGACATCTCGAAGTTTTTCCCACGGAGCTGAAATAAATGGAACTGTTGAAAAATAATCGCTAAACTTCAACAGGAAAGTTACAGAAAAGAAGAAGAAAAATTCACCTGAATATGAGTGATTTGTACACGCACATGTAGGTCTAGACATACTCAACTGTGCCAGTGATTAGGATTGTGTGCACACTTTCCCTAGTCCGTGTTAGCACTATTAACCATCGAAAAAGTGCGACAGTTCCCTTGTGTATGACTTAGGCTCTAACGAAGAACAAGCTAACTCAAGTGATACTGGCCAACAATATTTATTCGCACAGAATTTATGAAAGACCAAAGGCGACATCATCATTACGAGGACGGTGCTGCATAGCAAATATTTATTATTCATGGGGAAGCATTGGGGGAACAAAAAGAAAGCAAAGAGATGTGGCGGCGCCGCGTAGTGTCTGGGATAGTCCGGGCGGGGCGGGTGACGAGGAACTGCCGCAAGATAGGCAACTGGCGCAACCATGACCGATCAGCCGCCACCCCGCGGGGCACGGCCCCACGGCGTGAACACGATAAGCGTCATATCTACGCGGGCTATTGCATCAGCCAGTCGTCTGTCGCTTGAAATGGTGAATCCTGACGACTTTTACTTTTATAACCTTTGCTGTATTGGTTTGATTTCCACCTTCTTTCTTATTCTGCGAGTTCTCGAATGTTTCTTTCAGTTTTCATTCATTTCAGATGCTCACTGTTGATGGTTCGTTCAATTCACCCTGTTATGGGATGGGAGCCTCTGCCTCCTATGACTACTTTTCTGTCAGTTCAACGGCTCTTTGCGCTTCGTGTTCCCCATGTTCAAACGGTCAGATGTTCGACGATTTATGTGAGTTTCTTTTTTGTCACAATCTCAATGTTCATGCCTTTGGACCCCCGTTTGGCTCGCTGACCACAGATTGTCCCTCAACTCACTGTTTCATATTGTGGAGAATTTTGCTCTTTGTAGTCGCGAATAGTCGCGGGCGCAACAGATACAATAATGGGGCCACATTCGTTTCACTACAAACTACTTGTGTTGATATGGTTTCGCATTAGCGATTCTCTTAGAGGTGATTCATAACTCATTTTGATAGCATAGGATCAGGAATTTGTGTAATGGTAAATATGTTAATTTTTCAGCCATCCTCTCCACATTTCGTCGTAATAGCGGCTCTGTGTTATTTCGGCGGCCTCTTGGTCATCTCTAGCTGCCTGCTCAGTTCCAAATTGCTCTGATCCGCTGTGCACATAATCTTAAGTCAAAGAGATCTTGTACAAAAGTAGTTGTTTTCACTTGTTCGAATACATTATTTGAACGTGGTTTCTTTGTTAATTCTACTTCCCACTGAGTCGATCCAGCCACCTCCGCTCTACATAAATGCTGGGATAAATGCCAGCAGTAGCAGAGCTGTTGACCAACTCTGCGAGGGCTTCATAAGAAGTATCGATGGGGCTAATCGAGTAATTAGCTGATCACTCGTGAATCCTCTCGGCTGTCAATGTCAACTGGCACCTGTGCAACACGTGTTAATTATAAGACATATGCAGATATTCAACACCCTATAAATCGAGCTGGAAGAGCTGGGCGGGGACAAAATATCCCGGGGAAAAGAGAGGAACATCTCGGGATTCAATCTCCATTATTTTCAATCAAGAATCATTTGTGCCCTCTACTTCGAGAATGTCGAGAACGTAGGTTCCATTCGCTTTTTTAAATATGTATTCCACCTCTTCGTGGCCTCCCCGTCTCATGAAGATCTGTGTTGCAGTTGTTCAATCGATGTTTGGTGAAAGTTTTAAATATCGATCTTTGGAAATGCTACGTTTTCTACGTTCGAGAAACGAAGGGTCATTTGAGCTCCTTCAGGTCATTTACATTTTCAGAATACATTTTTCCATAAGCTTGAACGTTTCCATGTGGTAAAGCATTCAGGGAGAAGATGGCTAAAGCGTATGATTTCGCACTTGACAAAGGTCGGCCTTGATATGAACTCCTACTCAATCTATTCGGACTATATTTCATTCTTGAAAACTGTGTATGTTTATTTGTTGGTGTAAATTAGGTTGAAGTGGAATATGTTGTATGAGTTATGGTTCTCTTGTAGGCCAGCCGTTGGTCAATATGCTGAAAATCAGCGCATATCAGCCGTGCGTAAGATTTATCAGCGAGGAATTTCCACACCTATGGTGAACATAGAGTCGCTATGGACTGATTATTGCGCTTATGAGAAGAACATTAATCCAACGCTAGCCGAAAAACTTATTTCTGAGCGCAATAAGGAATATCAGGTAGGTATGGTTTCTGGAAACCTTGCTGTATAGGGCTCTTCTTGAATTCGTATATCATTATTTAAGGTTTCAAAGAAGATAGCAAAGCAATTGGAGACAGTCACCCGAGGGGTTAATAGGCAAGCTGTATCGGTACCCCCGCGAGGTACTGCTCCAGAGATGAAACAGGTAATATTTGAGACTTTAACAGTCGGTGTATTTTTTCTGCGATTTGTATAACTCTAGTCTAAAATGCTTCCAATTTTAGGTGGAAATGTGGAAGAAGTATATCCAATGGGAAAAGAGTAACCCAATGGAGACGGAGGAATACGGGCAATTCGCTAGACGCGGTATGTGTTCTATTAGTTACACATTTAATTTTTTTTCATTCGTCTGGTGGTTGGGTTCATTAACATCTGTTAAGTGGTGTACGCTTACGAACAGTCTTTGTTGTGCTTGGGCTATTATCCCGATATGTGGTATGAGGCGGCATTATTTCTGCAGCAAGCAGGAAAACAGCTCGAAGAAAAAGGCGATGTTAAGCTTGCTCAACAAATGACTGCGGAGGCAATGCGTGAGTTTTGATCGCATAAAAATTCCATCAGTTTTAAATTTTCAAAGGTCAATATAAAGCTATGTTATACCGTTCAGAACTCTTTGATCGAGCGATATCTGGGCTTATGAAACATTCACAGCTGCTCTATTTCGCATATGCAGACTTTGAAGAAGAACGAATGAAGTTTGATAATGTCAAGAAGATCTACGATAATTTGCTGGCAATAGACCACATCGATCCTACTCTTGTAGGTTGTTTATTTTAATGAGCTATTACAGCAGTGTGACGAGCGCAGTATGTTTAGACATATATTCAATTGATGAAATTCACACGTCGAACAGAAGGAGTTCGAGCAGCACGAGCGACGAGTGTTGCAAGATGGGCTAGGGAGGGAGGATAACCGGCTGCCTGTGCATGCATGTGTTCGATTGCCGCTGGCATTATGGAATGTTGTGACTTGCAGAAGGTATTCTTAGAACTGTCCGTCTTCCCATTAGTTTAGTAGAGTACCATAAGATATCACAGCTATAAGAACACTGTAAATCTGATTGTATTCATTTCGTGCTTGTAGGACAAGGATGTCGCTATGCGGGTTTTCGATCTTGGCTTGAAAAGTACGGTGATGCCGGAATACGCATGTGCCTGACGAGTCGATTTCTGGACTCACCTTGACGGTCGTATCTTTCACGCTTCGTAGTGCAATTACTAGTTTGAACTTAGTTTTTTTTAGAAGACAATAATACACGAGTAGTATTCGAACGCATTCTCACTTCTGAAACTCTTCCTCAGGAGAAGTCGTCGTAAGTATTCAGACCTGCTAAAAAAATTCATTGCCGATTGTCCAAGCCCATGATCTTCTGATTTTACAGAGATATTTGGGATCGCTATTTGGAATTTGAGTCCCTCGTAGGAGATTTGGCAAGTACTCTAAAAGTTGATGAAAGACGCAAGGAAGCTGTTACGGGTGGAAAGGATCTCATGATTTGGATCACGGGGGGTACGTTTGATGTTGTACGACAGGTATTGACTTACTGGTAATACGATGTTGCGTGTTACGAATGTTGCATTTTTATTTGTTTTTTCTCACAACTAGTTGGTGTTTCAGATATCCGGTGTCCTCCACATCGCTGCACACTCGCACTACTTGGAGTGAGCTCAACTTATAGTTCTTATAATGTATGTTTTACCATACTACTTTTTCTACTCACCTTCTTTTCAAAGTCTTTTTACTCCCTCTTCTTGAAACAGACTAATTAGGAGTATACTATTTCTTCGCTTTTCCACTTATGTAATGAGAGTGAGCCGCAGATGGCCCGATAAACTTAATTTTTGATCTGTTCCAGCTTCTTTTTTGCATTGAATGGAATAATTGCGCAAAGTATCCGTTAAGACTCGCTCGGATCGCATTTGTCTTGTTTAATTCTCTGGCGGATGTAGATATTCCTGATCTCTGGGTTTTGTGTTTAAAATCGCTCTGTATGCGAAAAAGGATGCTATTAAACCAACATTATCTGTCCGAAAAACGGAGAATACCGGTTATGTTGGCGGAGACGCGCGCGTGTTATCTACGGGATTCACTGATGAGCGCCGCAGCGAATCTCTAGCGGCGCCGCAAGGTGCTAGTTGCTAGTCGAAGGTGTGGGTTAAATACCGTCGGTGTGCTAGCTCAGGAGATGCGGGGCGTAGTTTTTATTCGCTTTTTTAACCCCTTTTTTTCCTCTCATTATCTGATCACCAAAGACGTTCATGGTATCCGGTCGTCTGCGACAGCGAGCCAAAGATGCATCCTGGTTCAACCGAAAGCAAACAGTGCAGCGTCATTCCACCCTGTTCCTGGTGGTAAGTTATGAAAATCAAAGTTCCGTTTTGTCTTATGTCTGTACATGTCACTTTTAGGTGTGTTCCCACCGCCGCCTGCAATAGCCAGAACTTATTTCCCTGCTACCGCCACCGTGGACCTTTCAAGGGCCATTCGTTTCAGTGGATTTGTCATCGAGTCGCTCCTATCAATAACAATGGCTGCTAAGCTCACTGGTACGCTCTATTTGTGCAACATTTACATTTCTTCTCAGCATGCATTTTGATTCTCATTCTCTTGTAGGGCCTGTGCTGGACAAAAAAGTGAAAATTGAGAACGGTACAATGGTTGGCCCGATGAGAGTTGACGATGTACGAAAAGACATGTATCAGTTGCTTGCAACAACTCCAGATCCTCGTTTTGTGAGTTTATGTTTGTGAACTGGGTATTTTGCTTTTTTTCCCCGTAGATATGATGTTATACAATCTTTCATAGATGAAATTTTTAAGAGAATAGTTGCTTCAGATTGGCTTTATTATTTGCGTGACAGTTTGCCCTTTTCAGGTATCGACGCATCTGATGGAATATCCCGCGAGTACCATTGCTTCCTCTATAGGTGGTAAAAGGAAACGAGGCGAGTCGGGTAGTGATGACGAATCTAGGGGAGTACCTACAGACATCTATAAACGACGTATGGATATGAAAGCTGCACAGCATTGACTTTTCAAAGTCTGACATATCATTTGTAAATACAAAATCTGGTTGAATTCGAGTAGTTGTGACTCGCAAAGCGTGTTGATCTTTTCTCAGTCTCGGTCTAGATAACTACCTGTTCGCCGTTTCTTGAACTGCGTTCAATTTAAGAGTGTAAGGAGCTGGGAGTTGCGTTACATAAAATTTAACGTGAGAGTCAGTCGCTGTAATCATCTTCAGTTCCCTGTTTGTTATTTATTATAGATATATTTAGCAGTTATCTTTGAGAGCTGTTTTGTTGTTTTTCATTAATTTATCGAAGCTATGAAGATATGTGCATTCTTTACGGATTTAATGAACCAGAGCGCATGGATGCAAATTGCACGATAGCATTATTGGAGAACTGCCAGACTTTTCCCAAGTGTATCAATTTTGAGAAAATTACTTTTTTTGGTATCAAGCTTGGCCCAAGGTGCAGCAAGTCCCGGCGAGGGAAGGGTCCTTCCCCAAAACTGCATCTCTGGATGCGTCCCCTATTCTTGATCACGAGAATTACGGCACCGACCGGAATGGAGACACATAGTTTTGGGGACGCTTCCCCTGGCCGCGGCTTGCTGTACCCGACTCCTGGTGGGTAACCTCTTATTTTGGGCATATTTCCATGACTTTTGTCACGTTTTTGGCTATCCCTACTCCTTCGGAAGCTTCGCAAAGGCCCTTTCAGGCAGGGAGGTCTTACAACTTCCTCTTTCGCAACTTTAACTTAGGAACTGTATAAATCCACCAGCTTGGAAGACCTGCCTACGAAATGTGGAACTCAAAACTCTTTGCGCGGTGAACCACGACGTAACGAAAGAAGTTATTGTAAGAAGAGTGTTAGAAGTAATGGTCAAAGTTCTTTGTGATACTACGTTAGTGTTAAAATAGGTATCTGGGTAAAGAGCCTTCATTTCTAGAAGGGTACTGATTTGTCGTTCACCCAGAATATGAACCTCTGCCTGTGGCATTAGCGGCATCTGGACCCATGTTGAAGCACACCACACTAAAAAGCGAAGTTTTGGCCCATCGGGGAGAACTGCGAAACTTCCAAGGCAATGTCACCAATCCAGGAGTATACAAGTTATTACGTCGCGAGCTTTATTGGATTCAATACCATATTTGTGGCCCCCTGGCCACTCTCTATTTAAAGTTACATGGGAATTCAAGTCTTCCCTGCTTAGAGATGTGAGACAGTTTTATTTTGGGCGAAGTGAATTTCCTTGCGATGATACGAGCTGGTTTCCATGTTGAACGTAACTTCCGCGATTCTAGCTGTTCGGAGATCGATGAGAGTGGAAAAGCATGGTGGATCTGGGGCATGTATCCCACGGATGTGACTGAAAGTCGAATACATGGCTTATACAATTTGCGACTACCGCTCTCCCTCTGAAGACCAAAAGTCCCTTCTCTTCCCCATCGTGTGAGCCTGTCGCACAACTACACTTACTAAAATCTGAAATGAAATACCCGGCTTCAACAATCATACACCGGAACTTTTTTCCAGTCCACATTTCAGGTTCTGCTCATTCGACGAACCTCATTACTAGTGGACTGCGCAAAAACTGAGCTAGTTCCCTTGCTACTCATTATGATACATATTAATCACAGTTAATAGGTGGGCTATAAACCTGCTTAAGAAATTGGTCCACGCCGCGCTTGACAGGTACAGGCTCTGCTCTAGTTTCAGCGGCTGCTGCCAAGGCTCGTTTTGTTAAAAGCTCGTTGGGCATTCTTGTAGCTCACATTACTTCGTCGTTGTGGTGAATGATGTTCGTGGACGGTGACAATGTCGAGTTCAGAGGCAACTTTTGCTTTCTGAAGGATTAGGTCGCGCACTCTTGTGCGGCATGAAACATTGAGCTGAACATTGATGGACTTCGCGTAGGCCAAATAGCATGTATAGAACGTTCACGGCACTACCCACAACTGTCCAGATGACGAACCATCCCGGGACGGTGGTCAAGTTCTCCTATTGAACGGGCGGGCCATTTGATGCGAACGGAAGAAATAGGTTTTGCTATATTGGGCCTCTTAACGTTCTCAAAGTGAGGTCACATTTACACAGTGGCTTATGCTTAAGCCTACAGTTGGGCTTAGGCTTAGTCCTAGGCTTGCTACGACCAAATGAGTGGTGTCCTCATTTTGGGTGACCTACTTGAGGAGGGAGACCAAACACACCCCCAAATTATGGCGATCATTTGAGAAAAGGGAAGAGAGTCAGTCAAAAAACGCTGTTATTGAAGGTCCTGTCCAGAAATTCTTGCATTCTTTCCCTAACATGAATATGTCAGTTGTGATCACTGGAGACAGCACACAAAGTTTCACGCATGAAGATTCGGTTTCCGAAGAGAAACAAACTTACAAAAACTACACTCTATGGACAATCGAAGGTAATGGCGCGGAGCCAAAGGCGGGGCATGGAAAGAAGTCCGCCTTGGGGCGGCTACGTATCAGGCGACGCAATGAAAGAATCGGGTTAAGCGTGCGATTTTGGAGAGTAGAGACAAATCGATCGATAGAATAGGATGCAGTAGAAGTGTGAGATGTTAATGCAATAAGTCAAAAGGTCAAAAGAGTTTCTAGTGACAGCACTCCGAGAACCAAGTGGAAGCGTTCCCGCCGCCAGCATTTGTGACAGATGTCGGCGGAATTTGAACATGTAACAGTCCTTCATTT